TTCAAAGGGGCCAAACATACCGACGCATTCCAGCACGCAGCAATAGAGATAAGGGCAAATGTGAACGTCCAAGTCTTTTTCCACACCCCCACCACAAAGGCGACAAGGAAAAAAATCCCGAAACAGCAGCAGAAAAAGATATTTGCACCTAAATTCGGGAAGTACCCTAGCGGGGTGAATTCGACGGGGCATTGTGGAGATATCTCCTTACAACTGGCCCTGGCTGTCGCCGACATGTTTTCGCGAGATTGAACAGCAGTGAGCTGTCAATTCGAGAAATGAATGTGCGTACGGAGTACATGGCGATTATAAGTCTCCCAGCGAACGGTGCTCAGTAGTGAGTTATCTACAAATTTATACTTGATGCGAAATGGGAACAGCGGCAACACACCCGATCTCCATTGGCATACTAAGCTGATAGGTTATACCAGTTTCAAGGGGCCCTTGCAATGCGCACCCATCGACCCAGCATAACATAACCTTAGGCTCGAGATTATCTCGTTTATTGTATAACATTTTCACGCATCGTGCATCGTGGACAGGCAGGATTCAGAAAAGTTGACTGCCCAAAATGGTCCAAAATGCGCCGCCGCGCAGTGATTGGTTAGATCGCACCACATCCCGTAAAGAGCTTAGACGCCAAGGTCTGATTAAAGTTGGACTCTCCCTAAGTTGATTGGTGAGCTGGACCTTGTGGTGAATGTGGGGGTTGTGGAATGAAAGGCGAAACCGGGGGCGGAGAGACACAATAAATATCAAAGGAAACTGGCGGGCTCGCGGAACTAAAGCGTACTATGTCCTCACCCCAAGCGCTGTACTGCGTTTATCTCCTCGAATCAACATCTCGCTGACGTAGTGGCTGCTCGAAGCACGCCAAGCATCGTGATAGCAAAGGCGGATTATACCAACGCTACTGGTGGTTGTTAGCACGCCAGCCACTCGAGAATAATGATGGCCCCTTGCAAAAAGAGCCGCCGTGGTTGCAGCAATTGTAAGAAACGCCGTATCAAGGTATGCATAGAGCGACTGATTTTCCATTGGAACTCGTGGAAGAAACGCTTATGAACAAGGCGTTAGTGCGATGAAAGTACTCCTCAATGCCACCGGTGCATCAGGAGCGGGTGGAAATGCCCCGGCTATCCACTCAACTTGAAGGTTAAGGATCAGACCTCCTTCAGCATACTTCATAAACAGTCTTCAAATGCGCCCTCCCGGGTATCGAATGGGGCTGTGATCAAACAATTTAACTTACCGAACAAACTTCAGCCTATTCCCAACAATCTAAGTTACCCGGCTGAACAGCTTGCCGTTCAATTTTTCTTCTCCATTTTCCACAGCCCGGATGATGCTCGTGTGCGGACTCCTTACCTGGATTTCTTCCCTTCTGCATTTCGAAATTCAAGTCCGGACTCTGTCATTTATCTTTCCACCCTTTCTGTTGCGTGTTCCGCTGTCGGCTCACTATGTGGCTTAACAAGAGAGAAGCGGCTAGGGGACATGTACTTCTACAAAGCCATCTCGGCAGTGAGGAGGGCTCTAGAAAATGAGGCAACAAGAGAGAATGACGAAACACTTATGGGTATATTACTGTTGAGGATATACGATGTATGTGTCTCCAGCTACCGCCTGGTTTGAGGCATTTTACCAGCATCAAGCCAAAATATGACCGCTCTAGATTCACCTACTCATGCAGATTCATTTAGGTTCTGCAGGCTGTTAAGCAATCAAAACAAGTGGTTTCAATACATTCACGTGGTGCTGCAGCGCTAGTACGACTCCGTAGCCAGAAGCGAGCTATGAATAGGCTATCTGTCGATTTAACGAATTCAGCTCGGCTTGAGCTTGTAAGTCAACCTCAGCGCCTTCAATTCGAAGCACCTGGTGTCATATCTAACGAGAAATAGATGGCAATGTCCGTATGGAACGGGGAGCGAGCGGCCGACGTTGTGAATGAGGAGTCGCTGCTTCCTTCAGACTACCATCCCTTGACTCGGTTGGTCTTCCTAGGTGCTAGGGCACTGGCTCTACAGAACCGATTTAATAGACTTCGCCTTTCCACCACTAAAAGTGATATATTTCTCCAGCTCCTACAACAAGCAATCGCGGTCGACAGCGATATCCAGAGCTGGCTTATATCATTATCCGATATATGTTTCCCGGGCAAGGCAAGCTCGTCTCCCAACAGCGGCGAACCGATATTTTTGGGCGAGGGTCCAGATGCCCTTACAAAAAAGGAGTCCTTTATCCATATACTGAATCGTTACCGCACATCACGGCTGATGGCACAGTACGTGATTTCAGGTTGTGTATCTCAACTTGACCAACCAGAGCTACACGTACAACTTGAGCGATCAAGAGCGATTATTCAGGATCTTGCTGATGGCATCTGTTCCACTCTTCAGCTCTATCAGTTGGACAATTACGAGACTTCGCTACATTCGGCCGTATCTCTTCATTCTCCAGACCGTGTTCTTCAGTTTCGACTGAGGATGGTGACAAGAACGTGGACGCTCTTGCCGTACCTTACTTTCATTGCCACCCAAGGGTTCATCTTGCGCGAAGGCCAGGTCGAATGGATTCAGAACAAGATAGCTCAAATCCACTCTTTCTATCAAGAATGTGAGTCAACTCCAATTACTCGAGGCACAGCTTGAAGAACGTGCTTGACAAGCGCCATGAAAATGCTCAATTCGAAACTTGGGATTCAAAACGACGGCGAATCGATATATGAAGTCTGGCAAGCTCTCAGGACGTTGTGTGTCTCAAACATATAGACTACTCCCGCGAAAATAACCATGAAAATTGTTGTTTCCGCTGGGATGCGAAATTTGGTGGACTAACTTTGTGGTACTCGTATTCAATTCAATTCAATTCAATTCAATTGGCTCGAAGCAAGTTATTTGACGATTATACGACATACGCCATATTGGGGATGAATCTGAGAAATCAACGACACGGGATTTAATGAAACATACTATAAACATACTATCTTGATGCCATTCGCTACAAACAGAAAGACAAAGGCAGTCTATTGCATTTTTTTCAGTTGCGAATTTATCACATAAATTCTCCGTTTGGACCAAACACCTACTACGACACATCGCTTGTGACAAGGCATACTGGCTTCCAAACAAACTTCGCTGCCAATATGAGCCAAGTTGATGACACCGGCTCCAGGTCGGGAGCTATCGCTAACATGACCTTGTTCCACTCTCGAAACCTACACGCACACCCGCTCCCATAAAGCACTCGAGTAGCGAGAGCGGATCGACTGAACGATACTTGTTACATATACTATTAACTTTGCTGCTGCTCCGAATCAACCGCCATCGGCTTCTCCTTCCCCGTTTCCTTTCTCCCAGCATGACCAGGCCTCGAGAATATGGCACCAAAGAGCGAAAGGACACTGTTGGTCCGGAGCACCATGCAATAAAACAGCGTCAGCCCTGTAACAACAATCTCCTCTCTCACCGCGTCGCTGACGTTGCCGCCAGCAGTGTGGGCACCGGGTGTACTGGATCCCATGAAAGTGATGTAACCAACTTTCTTCAGGCCCCAGATATTTGCAGAAAACTTCGCAACGGGCATCTTCTGCTCGTCAAGGCAGATATAATCCCAGGTTTTGAGACCACATGAACTGGTCCAGGTCATGCGCACAGGCCCAGCACTCCCGTCGTCGTCATCGTTGCTGCTACTGGCGAAGCGTATGAGTGGTGCATATATTCTGTCTTGAAACGCTTGAGCGCCTTAAGAGTGATGGGCCGACCACGGATCTCACAGTCAGCGTCGATAGAGAATGAATGCAGGTTTCCCGTAGCAA